AAGGCACCATTTCACTATGTCCTCACGTGACGGGAGGGACAGGCGGCTTTCTGTTTCTCTTGTAAATGACATGTATAAGGGCTACATTTTAAATGTAATCATCTCCAAAAGGCCCCACCTCCTCCTTGGAGATTAGAAGTCCAACATAAGAATTTGGGGCATACCCAAGCATTTAGACTATTGAGTAGTCCTGACAGGCTGAGAAAACCTCCAGGCCTGATGGGTCTGAATCCTTAGTACCCTGCTTTAGCGCGCTAATTTTCCACTAGCTTTTACAAATGGACATGAAAGTATGAAGTATCCCTAGAAAACCCCATAATTTCCAATGGTGCCTCCACTGTATGACATAAGTCAATTTCCCTTACATTTCCAGATGTAAAGTACTGAATACGTTCTTTTGAATTGTTTTTGTTGTGTTTTGTTGACGAAATGCCAAAATATAGGCCGGTGCCACGGCTCACTTGGCTAATCCTCCACCTGCGGGGCCAGTACCCTGGGTTCTAGTCCTGGGTTGGGCACCGGATTCTGTCCTGGTTGCTCCTCTTCCAGTCCAGCTCTCTGCTTTGGCCCAGGAGTGCAGTGGAGGATGGCCCAAGTGCTTGGGCCCTGCAGCCGCATGGGAGACCAGGAAGAAGCAACTGGCTCCTGGCTTCGGATCGGTGCAGCACACCGGCCATAGCGGCCATCTGAGGGGTGAACCAATGGAAGGAAGACCTTTCTCTCTGTCTCTCTCTGTCTGTCTAACTCTGCCTGTCAAAAAAAAAAAAAAAAGAAAGAAATGCCAAAATATTACATATATTAGATCAAACAGGAAATATGACATGAATTACACAGTAACTCTAAAGACCAGAACATTTAGAAATGGATTTGGTCTCAGAAACTAACACAAACTGTATCATTTATGGAAACTGATTAATAGTGCTTCACTGCTTCATCAGTGGCCAGCATTGTGGCCCAGTTGGTTAAGATACCACCCGCAACACCAACATCCTATATGATCACCAGTTCAAGTCCTAGCTGTTTCACTTCTGATCCAGCTATTTTACCTACTTCATATAGTCCTTACTACAACTTGCTAAGGTATGTATTATTGTCCCCATTTTACAGAAAACAAAACTGACCCAGATTGACTTGCCCAAAGCTATTCAAACAATGAACAACACAGCACCAAAACACACTTTTCTACTACCAAGTCTTGATTGTCACACCATTCCACACTATTGCTTATTATAAAAAATTCATAGATATAGTAAATCAAATTATCCGATAGGATTACTACTTTAGTAATGTAAATAAATTCTGAGACATGATCTAAACTTTATGAGTTATGCTGATCTGTATTTTTAGTGATTCAGTTAACTTTTTCATCCTTATCAGATGTCTAGAACTCAAAGTTCAACAAATATTAATAAACATGATTTGTATAATCATTCCTTGTCCCTTTCCAAGAAAAAAGTCATTTTACAATCAGTGTTTCTGAAATTAGTATTTTTCCCTTTTTCTAACAGATGTAAGACACCTATTAGTTGACTTACATTTCTTTTGTCTGTTATATAGTTTACACCTAGGTTTGTGTTGCACTACATCTTGACTGCATACATATTACAACACACTCATGGCTTCCTTTTGAAATGGCTCCTGCTCTATGACATTAGTGGTATGTATTAAAAACAGACAGTAGGGTGGCATGCTAAGATCCTGGCAACAATGAATTCTATCACTTAGACCTTAAGTCAGATTCTCCCTTTCAAACTCCATTTCTGAACCTCATTTAACCCTTTCTCTCAACTAGTTAATACCAAATGCCTAGATCTTCATAGACTCCTTTGTCTGCAAAAGGATGTCCTTCTAAGTCATTGAGACTCTGGGCCAGAAGCACTCCAGGTACGGAAGGTATAACACTGAGCACAAGAGACTCAAATCTGCCGTGGGGGGAGTTTCTGTTCTACTGGGACCTCCCCATCAAAATTCTATCCTTGAGTGTCTTTGCTGGGATGAGGAAATTTCAGATTATGGTATACAAGGGATGGAGTTTTTGCTTAAAAAAAAAAACTTATTAAAATATCCTGACATAAGTGGGATGCATTTACCCTTTCCTCCTTTCTCCTGTGAAATGAATTTTTAATTTAAAAATATAATGATGTATTATGGAAAAACGTATAGGGATGTATAAAACTAAACTGTTGCATCAAAAATTCTCAAACATCATTAAACAGTTTCCATTTTCCCTTTCTGCATGAGTATGTTTCCTGAGGACACCACTGGGGTAAAAACTCTTGCTCAAGTTCGCACAGCCAGCAGGCCAGAGAGTAGAAACCCAACCCGACCTAACTTAATTCTCAGAGCAGGGTTCAAGGCCCTAAACTCGGGTTGTGTCAGCATGCATAGTATCCACACTGCTGGTGTGCAAGGTGGCACCATGCCACCTGCACAGCCCACGTTCCTAGGAGGTGAAACCCAGAAGCGTGCCGTCACCACGCTGCCACTGCGGTTGCTACAAAAACGAGGTCCACAGTTTCCAGTCACTCCTACCGTTGTGAAAAACGCGCTGTCTCCACACCACGCCGTCCTCACACTGCCCTCACTTGGCAGGGCAAAGGGAAGGCGCCATGTGTCCACGCCACGCCGCTGTTAGGTCCACACACAGCTTCCGGTCATTCCTGCTGTTGTGAAAACCAGCACCGCATCATCTCCATGCCGCCATCGTGGTTGTTATAAATACGAGGTCCACACACAGCTTCCGGTCATTCCTGCCGTTGTACACACCGCACCAGGCCGTCTCCACACGGCCATTTCGCGCCGCCCTCACACTGCCCCCAGTTGGTGGGGAGAAGGGAAAGCGCGCCACGTCTCCACGCCGCCATGTTAGGTCCACACACAGCTTCCGGTCACTACTGCCGTTGTACACACCGCACCGCACCATCTCCATGCTGCCATCATGGTGGTTATAAATACGAGGTCCACACACAGCTTCCGGTCATTCCTGCCGTTGTACACACCGCACCGCGCCGTGTCCACACGGCCATTCCGCGCCGTCCTCACACTGCCCTCACTTGGCGGGGAGAAGGGAAAGCGCGCCGCGTCTCCCGCTCCCGGAGCTGCAGGGCTCCCGAGCGGCTCGCGCACGTCCGTTCCCTCGTCAGCCTCCGCAACGCCCCGGACTGGCGCCCGGGCAGGGCCTGCGGCGCGGCGCCTCCCTCCGCCATGGCTGCCCTCCGGAAGAAGCTGGTGGTGGTGGGAGCCGGCGCCTGCGGCAAGACGAGCCTGCTGGTGGTGTTCAGCCGCGACCACTTCCCGGAGGAGTACGTGCCCACGGTGTTCGAGAACTACGTGGCCGACGTGGAGGTGGACGGCCGGCGGGTGGAGCTGGCGCTGTGGGACACGGCCGGCCAGGAGGAGCACGACCGCCTGCGGCCGCTGTCCTACCCGGACACCGACGTCGTGCTCCTGTGCTTCGCCATCAGCAGCCCGGACAGCCTGGAGAACGTGCCGGCCAAGTGGGCCCCGGAGGTCCGGCACTTCTGCCCCGGCGTGCCCTCGTCCTGGTGGGGAACAAGAAGGACCTGCGGAACGACGCGGGCACCAGGCGGGCGCTGGCGGCCTGGAAGCAGGAGCCCGTGCGGCCTGAGGCAGGCAGGGACGTGGCCAGCAGGATTGGCGCCTTCGGCTACCTGGAGTGTTCGGCGAAGACCAAAGAGGGCGTGAGGGAGGTGTTTGAGATGGCCACGAGGGCTGCTCTGCACGCCAGACGCGGCAAGAAGAGGTGGGGCTGCCTGGTCCTGTGAAACCTTGCGGCTCGGTGCGAGTGGCGTGTTCGCTGGGCTTCCTGTCTGCTTATTGGCGTTTTTTTTTTTTTTTTTTTCATTTATCAGTGGTTTACCAAAGACTGCAAACCGGAAGTCACCTTGCTACAGCGTTTAGAAGTCAACCATGGTCAATGATATCCAACTCGGCCACCACCACCATCCCCCCCCCGCCACTGCCCTGTACCCTAACCCTGCCTGACACAGCAGGTGCTGTGAATTTCTTCACTTCTTTCTTGAAAGAGAAAGCAGGTGTCTCTTGTGAATCAGGTTGGAACTACTTTAAAACCAGCATCCCACCTGGCAGCTGCAGGGTACTCTGATGCGTTACCACTGCGGAGCTTTGCTCCTTAGCAGATCTCATTGGTGTACCTCTGGGTATCCAGTTTGTTTCAAAAAAAAAAAAAGGGGGGGGGGGAGTGGGGACTCAACCAGCAAGACCCAAGTCCATGCGGCTGTGGCAGAGTTACAGCTCTGTGGTTTCAGGTTTGTTACCTTATGGTTCCTGTGTAATTAGTGCCACTTAATGTATGTTACCAAAAGTAAATATATCTACCCCAGGCTAAATGTGGTTTTGGTATAATTGGATTGCATAATACCGATATTTGCCAACCCTTCAGAATGTGTATTGGCTTGTAAAAAAAAAAAAAAAAGTAGTGTTTGAAAAAAATTGAGATTGAAGTTTCAATTTCAGTTTTGAAATTCCCACTGTGTTACTATCTCTGGTAAAAGATAACCACATCACTTGTTTTCTACCTATATCAGTACCTGTTTCCAGAGATGAGCTAAGTCAATAGGACTTTGTTTTCACACCTGAGGCAATTAGAATCTGTGGAAGGTGCTATAATCTCTCTCACCTGGCCTGCAGGCTCTGGCTGTAATTCACAGCGCTTTTTCTCTTCACTGGGTCTAGGTTCCCTCACAGAGAAATTGCCAATCTTAAAGGTGGAACTTGATTTCCCGCTCTCTTTAGTGGACTAATTTTTTTCCCCTGTACTTGTTAATTTTTCCAACTAAAAATAAAGGTAGTTTCAGCCCCAAAAACAGTGCTGAAGTTTTTTGAAACCTGAAATGGCAAGAAAGGTGGTAATGGAGGACAGATTTCAATGTCACTGTTAGTCTAAATTATTAAGCAACCAGATAGGATTTATAGAGATTTAAAATATATCTTCATGGTGGGAATAAACAAACATTATCTTGGTTTGTAGCTCCATTCCGAATTCTGTAAAACACTGGTAGAAATGGTTTGCAAACTTGTTCAGTACAGGGCCACATCATAAGTATCTTAGGCTTTACAGACCATTCTTTGTTGTGTATTCTTTTTTGGTGGTGTATTTTATTAACAACCCTTTAAAGAAATAGAAAGCATTCTTAGCGCTATGCAAAAACAGGCCCCAGGCCAAATTTAGTCCATTAGCTGTAGTTTGCTGTCCCCTAGAAATGGGTGTCTGGTTCCACCACAACCTTCTCTGCTATTGTCTACATAAATGTCTAAGATGTACAAGGTGAACTTTTTCACTGGAAGTTTTGTGACTGGCCGAAACAGAGGTAAACTTAAAAATTCTGATTAATTTTTTTCTTTAAAAATGCTCATGTTACAAAATAAACAGATACAGCGATTTCATGCTATATTAACATAAAGAGATTCTTTGTTTTTCTTTCACTTATAAAAGTTCAAGAAATACTTTTAAATTTTCAAATTGAGTACTTTTTTACAACAGTAAGTGCATAAATGATTGCTGTATCATCAGAAGTAAATGTATAGCAATTCATTGGGCATTGTAGAGTATCACAAATATATCAAAGTAGAGTATATATTTTTTGACAGGCAGAGTTAGACAGTGAGAGAGAGAGACAGAGAAGACTTTATATTTTTGGCCGGCGCTGCGGCTCACTAGGCTAATCCTCCACCTGCAGCGCCGGCACCCCGGGTTCTAGTCCCGGTTGGGGCACCAGATAATGTCCTGGTTGCTCCTCTTCCTGTCCAGCTCTCTGCTGTGGCCCAGGAGGGCAGTGGAGGATGGCCCAAGTGCTTGGGCCCTGCACCCCATGGGAGACCAGGAGGAGGCACCTGGCTCCAGGCTTCGGATCAGCGCAGCGCGCGGCTGCAACGAGCAGCCATAGTGGCCATTTGGGGGGTGAACCAACGGAAAGAAGAACTTTCTGTCTCTCTCTCACTGTCTAACCCTGCCTGTCCCCCCCACCCAAAAAAAAAAAAAAAAAGAGCGAGAGAAGACTTTATATTTTAAAGATAAATGTGTTCACTTATTTTCTGAAATTGCTTTCATAAAAATGTTCCCTATACAATTGCTGGTTTTTGTAGCATTTTTAATACATTTTTACTACCCAGACTTTGTGTTTCAACCTGTGTCTTTTTTGGACGACTATAAACTAAAAAAATTCTTTTTTGTTCAGGTAAGAAAATAATTTTACAGTGAAAAATGTTTCACTGTAGCTCGTGATGAGACAGGGTCCACTTATTATAGTTTGCACACAATTGTGAGTAAAATATAGTTGCTTAGTTCTAATTCAGAGTATTTGGAATGGTAAAAATTCCAGTTCTTCAAAAGAGGTCAATGAATAAAAAAATGATTTTTCTGAAAATCAATTATATCACTTATATTAAAGCCTTGTGTACTAATTGTGAGCTACATATCAGCAATTACAAGTCACGAAGCAGATAACATAGGCCTGATACTACTGCCGAGAGCAGAGGTCCTCTTTGGAACCAACTCAGCTCTTATGAAACCATTTGATATGAAAACCATCTCTCTGGCTTTAACTTTTTGCAAACTGAATATCCCAGAAGTAGTTTGGCATGCAGATTCCCATGATTCAAATGCACATCTTTGCATGGTTGTAAGATTTCAAAGACATTTAAGTCTCTAGGACAACTTAATAAACTATCAATTGTTTATTTGCTCCTAATAAATTGTTAGTTGTAGAAAAAATAACTATCAATTTGCTTTTTTTAAGTATCTGATCTCTAATCTTAAAAATGAAAGAAACTTTTAAAATAAACTGTTGGAAAATTTATATAATCGTGGAACAGATTAAGTGCACATAGGTTTTTCCCCTACTGAAGTGGTATTAGAATCTCTCTCGTCCTTTAATGAGTTTTGGCTGTCAACTTTATCATGTGATCTGATTCTAAATGTTTTTAAACTTGAGAATCACTGTCTTGGCTTGCCTAAAAAAGTACAAATTGCAAAGGGAGTGTCATAATATCTTGCTTCTCTTAGGGTGAAAAATGACCCATGCAGATGTTCAGGTAAAGGAAATTTGGCCTGGCTATCAAATGGTCATGGATGAAACAAACAAGAATTTCAACTGAAGCCTGAGATTTGCATCTACATCACTGCTTTTCCACTGAGTAGCATATGAATTGACAATATGATCATCTACTTTCTGTTATCATTAGCTGATTGTATTATTGGTTAAAAGCCAGCCTATGAGGATGAACATATAGCTTAATATGCAAATCAAATAAAATGTGAAATACACTTATTTATGATATACTTGCCTTATAGAAAGTATGATTAAATTACAGTAAATTTAAAAAATTAAAAGTAATTTTTAAAAAGATTTATTTATTTGAAAGGCAGTTACAGAGAGAGAAGGAGGGACAGAGATTGATCTTCCATCCACTGGTTCACTCCCCAAATGGCTGCAATAGCTGGGGTTGTGTCAAGCCAAAGCCAAAAACTAGGAACTAGTTCTCACTGGGTTCTGCTGCTTTGTGCCCCAGCCGACTGACTCCTTCCTATTACCTCCCACTACACCCTACTTTCCAGATGCTCTGGTTACTGTCGTTTCTACTGAAGTTTGTTTCAGCAATTTCTACACTGGTTTGGATATTCCTGGTAGGACGCACTATGGTGATTGATTAACACTATTTTGTAAATAAAAAAAAAGTATTGTAGTATTGTATGCGCACTTGTGTGTCACCTGTGTTACAATCATTTGGGTTCCATTTCAGGCTTTGGCTCTGGTTACTAACGTGGAGTTAGCCAAACTATAGTTTGAGTGCATGATCATTTCTGACACCCACTGCAGGAGTCCAGCTACAAAGTAAAAGGGAAATTTATACAAGATTTCTCTCTGACTTCTGCACCAACTTAAAAGTCAGTAGTTTCCCAAAACTACCCTTGTGCTTGCTAATTCACGAGAAAGGCCCACAGTAATCAGGAAGGCTGTTACACACCTGGTGATGACCAATTGTAATGCAGGGGAACAGAGGATTCCACATGCCCTTAGCACATACTGCCTTCTCGGCACTCGTGGGTGATAAACACACATGCAGTGCTGCCAACCGGAGAAGCTGACCCAGGTCTCCCCGTGAGCAGAGCTGTTATTGTGGTCCTATTAGGTAAGCGTGATGGATTGACTGCCTCTATAGTTGAGATTCAGCCTCCAGGTTAACTGATACCACATGATTCAAAGACCCAATTCTAAAATCACATGGCTGAGCTTTCTGGTGTGGTCTGCTCTCATCTGAAGATTATCAGTCATGGCCAGCCACATTCTCAAATAAAAACATTCCAGATAGTTATGATACAAATTTCCAGAAGCTACAGGCAAAGTCCAGACTCCACTGTAAACTATGTAACATCTCTAATCCTGTGTTTTTTCATCTGTAAAATAATGTAATCATACTTTCCCTATGACTTTCAAGCCTTAATTCATGAAGAATGCTGTAATCCTCTATATTTAGAAAAAAAATCCCAGCTAGTAAAAATTTAAAAAAAAAAAAAAACCTCTTCATTTCTGCTAGAATGAGGTAGCTTCTCTGTCTGAGAGAATACTGTCAAATGGCCCCCACCACAAATCCCATTTTCCAAAGATAATTCTGATTGCATCATGTCCTCAGACAGGCTCCTCCCATTTTCAGGGGAACGGTACCTTGTGGTGAGATGTCCACTGTACCAACCACTGGCAGGAGAGCCATAAAATACGGCCAGGCAATTGATTTATATATTTCTTCTTAAAGCACTGAAAAATGCTAAAAATGGAGAGGATTTTCTAAGATGACAGTATACAGGAACCTGATTTACGGATTAGTTATTATGAGCTCGGATACTACGAGGGCACTCAGTGCTTTTCACCAAGCACAGGTGCACAGAAATAAGATTCCCGCCTGTCCTGGAGAACAGCATTATCTGCATGTGTGTTCATATGAAGTACAAGAATAAAGAAGCAAATTTCATATTTTAGTAATGTGACTCTAAAGCCACAAATGAATGTGGGTATGCTATGGTTTGGAAAATTTTCCACAATCAAAAATATCAGAAAATGAATTTTAGATGTTGTTTTTATATTTTGTACTCAGTATGTGCAGCATCTTGCAATATTCTTTTAAATAATATGTATGGCTACAGTCATGTAAAATGAAAAGTACCCCCAAACACCTTGAATAATATGAAGAAATTTGTTCATTTCATAATTTCGCTTTAAAAATAAATATTTAGAGGGTTCTAAGGTAAGCAGCTTTGTTGCCATGGATCACTCAAATTTGTAAAATACACATTTGTAAAATTGTAAATCTAAGAAAGTATTCCATTCATTAAGAAAGGGTATTCAGGGGCATGGCACTGTGGTGTCCAAGGTTAGCCTTGCGTCTGCAGTGCCGGCATCCCATAGGGGTGCTGGTTCAAGTCCTGGCTGCTCCCACTTCTAAATGCCAGCTTCCTGCAAGCACCAGGTTTAAAGCTGCTGAAGACGGCCCAAGTCCTGTGGACCTCTGCACCCACGTGGAAGACACAAAGAAGCTCCTGGCCACTGGCCTGGGCTGGCCCAGCTCTGGCAGTTGTGGCCATTTGGAGAGGAACCAGCACATGGAAGATTGATCTCTCTCTCCTTCCTTCTCTGTATCTCTGCCTTTCAAATAAATAATACATCTTTTTAAAAGGGTATTAAATCAGCTTTGAATAGAATAAATTTAAGTGGACGCATGAGGAAGACTTTATTAAAGGTAAACGTAGAAGAATGGAATGGAAAAAAACACTGGGGAACGGAGATCTTTGCAGACTTCAAAAAGTTCACGGAAAATGTGAATTATCTTTTCATTCCATTTTTCTGTAACCTGTATTTTAAGGGGACTTTTGTGTTTGAGTTGGCACTCAGTGGCACTTGTGACCATTAACTTCAATTACACGGAAAAACCCCAAACAAACCCTGGGCATTGTAAATCTCATTAATTTTTAAACACATGGGGACTGGAATAAATGGACTTTGAATTAACTCAATCCAAATTACCTGATATGAAAACATAATTGCAATTCCGTTGCCTGAAATCAGTCGCCAGTTGAAAATGCAGAATAGTTTGCTATGCTAAGGTTTATTACAATTTATCGTTTTGAAGTTTCATAGGAATGTTTTCATAAACATGAGGTCTGAGATTGAGAAAATAAGGGATTTTAACGGACATTTCCATATAATTTTGTAAACCTCGGGGAGCATTTCATCAAATGTCCCTTCTTAAGGGGGGGATCTTTGAGTTGCTTAAGTAAAACATTCAATTCAAAACATACAACTGCAATCCTCAAGCACACCCGCTAATGCGTCATCAAGAAAATCAGGACTCGCGTATTTCTAGACTTCCTGCTTTGTTTCTACAGCAGTAAGGCAAAGCATAATATTAACATGAGCCTAACAACGAGAGTGAAAATGTGAAGAAATATGCTATAAGAGAAAAACAATGGAAATGTTGCTAAAATGAGATATTTTCAAAAACCAAAGAAAAATCACCTTGAAAAATCTGCTGCTTTTGGAAAGTCTGGTGTCCTTGGTCCCATCTACTTGTAGACAGTAAAGTCACCATATAAACTTTTAATATTTTTGTGTTGTTTTAACCAAAGTTTCTATTTCTTAGATCTTAAAATAATCTCTGATTGGAGGCAGGCCACATTTCCTGAGGGATCCTGTTATTAATACCCTCATTTAAGTAAAGAATTATGAAACACAGAATAACGTCCATCCTATGTGCCTTACAGAAAGCTTTAAAGATTAGCCCCCTGTACCCAACCCACTTGGAACACAGTAACACCCACAGACAACACGTGAAGGCTTATACCTGAGAAAAAATGTGCTTTGAAGCCCTTCTTGGACACAGTATTATCAGACTTGAACTCGATTCTCATGTTGTTGAACTGGGACGTGATCACTTCGGGCACTTCAGCTCCACAGAACTTGCCGTGTAACTTAGCCTCAGAGGAAAGCCCACTCCAGATCTCCACATAATCATATTTGCAAACCTGCAAAACACGTTAATGTGGTCAACAGACCCGAGAGTCGCAGATGATTGACATTCACACATGCATTGCGTTTTTATTCCTGTATCTAGTATGATGTTTTTATTCCCCTCTTTATTCCTGTGTTAATGTTAAATCAAGCTGAAATAAACAGGTAAAGGAAAGATAAACAAGACTAGCACAGGGCTCAACCATGAGTCTGAAGGGATGAAACAATTAGAGAGATGAGAGCCCCAGAGGGTGCACACACATATGTATGCTTGTTTACATCTTTCCTAAAATATTAAAGGAGAGTTGAGATGAATGTTTGTTGAGGCATAGGCACTGATAATCACAAGACAAGCAACTCTGCCCTTTCAAATCAAACTCCTGAAACCTTCACCAGGGACTGTGAAAATACTTCTTACATGTGGTCTTATTTAATATTGACAGTATATGACATAGCCTATGAAATCACCAATAGCAACAGAAACTGTACTTTCTATGGTAGAGATGAGAAAACTTAGCTCTAGAAATTTTTTATACAACGTGGTCAACATTTTCTTAGCCTACAAGGCAAGGTGGTGATGAACAGCACGGAGTGTGGTTTAGAACCGGGCTGTCTCACAAGAAAGCCACATTCTAATCAGAGCTGCACCATAAACAACTTTCCAAGTGAAAGACAGATACTTGGTATATAAAAAGCAGACGTTTTGCCTTTCCAATTTGCTAACGTCTTGGAGTTGCTACGTACTAGCAAGTTACTCTGTATGATTACTGTAGAATTGCAAACAGACTGGAACTCTAGTAAATGGGACAGAGGCAAAAATCTAGCTCATTGTGACTTACATGAAATGCATTAACAACAAAAGGGAAAAAGCTAAGTGAATCTCAGGCAATAAGCACTGTTGTGGCCACTAACAAACATTTTGTGAATACACTTTCCCAAAGTTTCTGTAATAGGACATGTTCTATAGAGTATATGTTGTATGAATGACCTTCTTACATAAATGTTTAATTAGCAACACTTAACAGTTTGCAAAGGATCTTTCTGCAACTGAGGAGGACCCCATGAGAATCATGCTTTGAGAAAACAAAGCTCAATTTACGTAAAACCTGAACAGAAACCTTCAGCCTTTTAAGCAACACCTATCAAAAATGAGTCAAAGAATGTCACATCCGTCATAACTATAGTTTTATGGAAAACCATGAAAACAGAAGTCATTCAACACTGAATTCATATGAAATCACAGAATGGGTAGTAAAATTCAGATTTTCAAAATGTGTAGCTCATAAAAAGTTTTTGCAAAAATATTACAAAAATCATTTTCATTATTTCGATACTTCCCACAAACTCAAGCTAGTTTGTAAAGAAAAAATATATTAATGTGGATAAAGTATGCTGAAAAGAGTAACTCTATTCTTTTCTATCATGAAACTTAATCATGATGTTAACAGAAAAAAGCTGAAGACGTCCAGTCAGTTCTAGGCTTCTACAGTTCTCTGAAATACATCTTTATTATGGTTCAGATTTCAATTCCCTTTAGGTAATGAAATAGCTATATCTTTTACATTGAAACCACTGATATGGACTAATCTCATGGTATAAAATGCACAGATATTACAAACACCTCAACACGTACTGCCCTCAGGCACACATGCCTTACATTTCTGTTCTCACACTTCTTTGCAAGTGTTCATCAGATATACATCAAAGACATGAGTTATTTTTAATCACGTTTAGAGGTGATGAGTCATGTTCATTTTCAAATAAACACAGAAACTAGTTATTGGGACCAAAGGTGTGGAAGAAGTTAGTAAGAGAAAATCAAGTATGAGAGATTAAATAAATACTTATAACCTTTTCTCTGGAATTAAACTTGTGTCAACAAGTTCTCATTCTTATTTCTAGGCTTGCCATTCATTTATATTTGGTGTACTGTCATATAGAAACTTTCAAATAAATAACTTCACTTGTTTAAATGTGGTTACCTAGCAGAAAATGCTACTATTGATACAGTATGCAATAATTTATAGAAGATAGCTTCAGCTCAACATGTCTTACCGAGGTTAAAAAATTAATTATTTATTTATAAAGCATGCACACATTCATAATGAAAAATTACTTTCATAATGAAAATACACCCATTCTACAAATAAGATATACCAAGTTGTTCCAAATGGATATTTTTGTTATGACTCAAATCAAAATCCACTGGGTATTTTTTTCCCAGCCATGACATGAAGCTGACCCTAAATACTCCAAGTCTCTAACAAATGGAGAAAATGGTGTATATTAACTACATGAATTAGAAACTCCCTCTAGGTAATTTCCTATCTCCCAGAAACAATCTAAAATAGAGTACTATGCTCTTTTTTAAAAAAAGTTTTCTGATTTGCCTTCAGGGATTCCTTCATTTTTAAAAAAAATCTATTTATTGCTCACTTACTTCATTGCCTTCCAATTCAAAAAACTCAAACTTCATAGATATTCTGTACTGGGTTGGTGCAACCACTTGCCACACACAGTTTTTATTAGGAGGATACTCTTTGGGCCATCCTGGGGTGGTGATGGTGCCATTAAGCTTGGTAAGAAGTCCGCCACAAGCAGCTAGAAGAAAGAAAAGGAAGGGTATTCCCTTATTAAAGTCACCCCCTTCTTAGCACAGTTCCACTGATACCCAAACATTCAAAATAGCCAAGATACAGGACCTACCAGGATATGAATGAATGGATGAAGAAAATGTGGCACATAATAAAATGGAATAGTATTCAGCCATAAAAAAGAATGCAGTCCTGACATTTGCAATGCATGGATGGAAGTGGAGGTCATTATGTTAAACAAAGTCAGGCACAGAAAAGTCAGTACCAAATGTTCTCACTGTATGTACAAGGTAAGTTGATCTCATAGAAGTAGGGAGGAGAATAGGATTGACAGAGGCTAGGAAGGTTGGGCAAAGAGAAGATGGAGAGAGGTTAGTGACTGGGTACAGAAATCAAGTTAGATAAATAGAAAAAGCACAAGTGGTCTCTATATAGTACAGTAGGGTGACGATAATTAACAGTTATTTACTACAGATTTCAAAATACCCATAAGAGAAGTTTTTCAATACTCCCAACACAGAAAAACAATAATTATGCTGATGTGATCACTACACATTGTACACATGTAAAGAAATAACATACTGTGCGTCATGAATACATGTAATTATTAGGTGTCAATTATATAAGTGAATGAAAAAAACCGCCTTCTGGATTCCAACAGACACTGAAGCTACTGTTCTTTAGTTTTTAGAACAACTATGGCAATCATGAAACCACAGTTACAAAGTACCACTTTGCAGCTTTGCAACCAGGCAGATAAGAGGTACAACAATATTTTAGATCACTTTAATCTTTGGCAATCAACCTAAAGGAAACTGGGTGTCAGTTTTTGTATCTCTTAAATGGGTTCACCATAATAATATCTTGTAGTGTGCCTTGGGTACTTCAGAATTAACAGAAAGAATACATTTTAGAATTGATAGAGTTGTGATAAGGAAAAGATATATGTAAAGCATAATATAGTCTAAAATCATTCTTTCTTCAATCTCTTTTTTGCCAAGACAAGCAATGATGTATTACCTGAGTCAGCGGGCAAGATAAATTATGACAGATACAACATATTTGTTATTCCACAAATCTCTGTTTAACAACTGGTTTTCATTTCCTGTGGATGATCTATTTAAGAGAGACACCATTTACTTCCCTTCTTTGCTAACAGCGAAGTTAGCAAAATCAAAGTATCCCAGAGCAAGTTGTGTGAAAAGATCATATACACATTTTATAACTAATTCCCAGGGAGTCAAGAATTGCTTAAACTAAATGGTCTCTTTGATTTTATGTACATGTCACTGGTGTGCCAAGTCCTCTTTTTGAAAGGTATGGCATTTTGTTCATAACAATGTATCTTAATTAACAGAGAGAGGATTAAGTGTTTAATAGACAAAAAAGATCAACTTTTACAAAGAAATAAGGAATCACTGTTTTTTTAGATTGGCAGATATGGAATGAATTCATTAAGGAAACACCTTAGGCACCTTTGCCTCTTACATCCTCTAGCAGAGACACAGTAGAGAACAAAGTGCTTATTTTCAGGGAGCTTGCATTTCAGTGGAACACACCAAAACAAGTTAATAAATACAAAAATGCAAGTATTGCTGCAAGTCCTGTGGTGATGCATTCGACAGGAATTTCTAAAGAGGAATAAAGGGGGGAACAGACTGCAGGAATGAAGATCCAAATGTTTATTCTCTCTCCAGTCTGAGGTGTGAGGCCTCTGCTAGGGTGGAGGAGAGGGAAATGAGAGAGGCAGCTTTAAATGTGAGGGCAGAGATCTTAGGACATGGTAAGACAGCCTGGCAAACAAAACCTCACATGGGATTGTAAAGAAGAAATGTGGATAACCATGACAAAGACATCTCTGTTTAAAGAAGCATTTATTCATGAAATGCATGTCTGGTTTTAGGCTAGATGCTTTCTGTCTACTACATGCTGGAGGTAACAAAAGCAAATCCGGTTTAGGGCTGCTGACTTAGAGACCACAGAGACCACAGTAAGAAAATATCAAGTCATGGATGGATGGATGGGTGAGTGGGTGGGTGGGCAAATAGGTGGGTAAAATATCTAGATTTAGAAAGAGACAGAAATGCATACATGCACACACAACAGCGTAGTAACCAAAGGAGGACAGAATTGATTACATAACAAGAATTTGTTATCAGCTGTGACTTTGAATTAAGTCTTAGTAGTTTTTGGAAAGAGGTTATTATAGGGGACAAGAAAGGCATGAGGGAAAGATAGAGATAGAGATAGAGATAGAGATAGAGATAGAGATAGAGATAGAGATAGAGATAAGGATGGAGACAGAGTTAGAGATACAGAGAGCACATGAGAATACAAAACAGTCATCCCTCCATAAGTGGTTCTTCAACACCTCTGGATAAGGAACTCTGTGGCTGCACAAGTCCCTTATACAAAATGGTGCCGCATGTGCAAATAACCTGTGCACACCCTCCTGTATACTTCAAATCATTTCTAGAAGACCTGCAATATCTAATACAATGTAAATGTTATGGGAATAGTTGTCTCACTATCCTGTTTAGAGAATACATACAAGAAAAATGAAAGAAGGCTGCACTTGCTGAGCACAGGCTTAATTTCTTTTTGGAATATTCTGGAACAGTAGCTGATTGAATTCGCAGAGGGGCAACCCGTGGATGTGGAAGGAGGACTTGGGCAGCAATGAGGGTGCGCGCAGGTGCTGCCCGGGCCCAGCCATACCTTCACAGCTCCTCCTGTCCGGCCCCAGCTCGTAGCCCGGCTCACAGGCACACTGGTAGCTGCCCAGGGTGTTCAGACACCGCTGCTCACAGCCGCCTCGGTCAGCTTTGGCGCACTCGTCTTCCTCTGCAAAAACGGCAGAGTTACAGGATGACCACCATGTTGTGCTTTCATAGGCCATGTTTGAAAACAGGATTCTACCTGGCTCTGAGGACAACGAAGACAACGACTCACCTCTCCGACACAAGAAGAGGGAACACAGCCTTTGCTGGATGACTTGCAAGAATTCAGGTCCCGCAACCCAGGAATTAGAGAAGCAGGCTAAGTCCTGGACCTACAGCAGGGCCACCCAGAGCCCACGTTATCCCAGCGTGTGTTTGCTCTGAATTTGAGCTTAGAAGGGGATGATTAATGAAATAATAAAAAAAAAAAACAGCTGCAATAGCATAGCTTCACCTACTGATTTCACAGAATAGTTGCAAGATATGTCTCAAAATGTTTTTAAAGAAATAACATTAAGAAAGAGATTGTGGGAATAAAAATTAAAAACAGATGAAAATCCTAAATTCACTGGACCTCTTTCAATTGAAAGCCTTTGGTGTTTCTTACAAATACATTTTGAGCCAGAAAATATAACTATCTCACTTGTTTGTGAATGTATATACTATTTAACTGTATATATACATATGAAAATATGCATAGGAAATATATATGAAATATGTTATTTTCATTTTCTAGATTTATTTATTTATTTGAAAGTCCGAGTTACAGCAAAAGAAGGAGAGACAGGGTGAGAGAGAAATCTTCCATCTATTGGTTCACTGCTGAAATGGCCACAGTGGCCAGGGCTGGGCCAGGCCAAAGCCAGGAGCCAGGAGCCAGGAGCTTCATCTGGGTCTCCCATGTGAGTCTTTGCTGCTTTCCCAGGTTCATTCGCAGGGAGCTGGATCGGAAGTGGAGCAGCTGGGACTTAAACTGGTACCTATATGGGATTCTGGCACTATAGGTGATGGCTTTACCAGCTATGCAATGGCGCCAGCCCCAAAACATATATTATTTTAAAAAAATGTATGACAGAAAATCTTAAACATATAAATGAACATTTGAATAAATATTTTAATACATGCAGTAAAAGTGTCAAGTTGCTCTGCTTTTTTAATTCATATGGTGAATATTTAAGCAACTCAGAGAAAATGTGTTTTACTGTTTTTTAAGTAACAAAATATTTAGGTTATCTGTAAATTTTCATATATACAACTGAGTACATTATGTATCCTATAAAATTAGTATAGAGGAAACATTTTTCTCTTTCTTCATAACAATTTTATTGCACAATGACACACTTAAAATAATTTCCTATGAATTTCAGAAAGCATATTTGATGCTATTTACCCCAAAGCAACTTTCTTATCTCAGTAATATGCAGCTAACATGGAACTAGAAAGCAAACTGAAATGCAGTTATGTAACCACAAATTAAAGTTGATCAGTTCTGTCTTTGTCAAAAAGACACTTTAGATATCAGAAGATCCTGTTAAGGAAGCCACCGGGAATTTCCCAGGGGGGAACAGCATCCTGTAAAGCTGAGTTTAGACGCGCTGGCATCTGGAAATAAATCGATTGTCTGTGTGTCAGTGCACTCTCTTCTCATTGGGAATCTTTTATTGATTATATGCACTGCAGATATTTAGTCCTGTCTGTGTATCCCTTTCTGGATTTTGCTAGTTTGACTATTTCATAAGAAACAGATGGTTGAGTGCCCTAACGGAGTTCTTACTCTGTGCTTCAACGTTGTTTTACAAAAAAAATGTTTTCCACCAAAACATATCAAATCATCCTTATAAACTGTACCTACTCCAACTTTTAATACAATTTTAATTTCGTCCTCCCCTGGAAGCTAGATGCTGTATTTACTCCAAAGAAAGTTCCTCATTCGTAAAGGACTTCCGATTACCTTTAAAGAAGTTAGCGGCAAACCCAGCCTTGTTCACAGTTCCGTCAGAAACAAACTTCATCCACAAGGTGTTGGAGGTAGATCTTATGTCTTCAGGCTTATCATAACCACAGAAACGCCCTATCAAAGGGCTGTTTTTGCTGGTTCCATCTCGAACCTCTAGGTAGTCATAGGCACAGTTGTCATGTCTTTCAATCTACAACAGTGAATATAAATCTTATTAATAGATGAAACAGGGGCTGGTGTTGTGGCACAGCAGGTAAAGCCGTGACCTGCAGTGCCCACATCCCATATGAGCACCGGTTCTTGTCCAGGCTGCCCCCTCTTCCGATCCTGCTCCCTGCTAATGTGCCTGGGAGAGCAGTGGAGGATGGCCCAAGAGCTTGGGCCTCTGCACCTACACGGGAGACCCGGAAGAAGCTCCCAGCTCTTAGCTTTGGCCTGGCCCAGTCTAGCTGTTGCAGCCACCTAGAGAGTGAACCAGTGGCTGGAAGATTTCTCTCTCACTCTGTCTCTCCCTTTCACTGTAATTCTGACTTTCAAATCAATAAATAAATAAATATTTTTCTTAAAAAATAGATGAAACAATTCTTATAGGAAGATAATTAAGTACTCTCAGTGTTATAGTACTGACATAGTAAGACTGAAGATGACTTATATTACGTAAGTGCACATAAGCATTCCTTATGAGTGTATATGATAATGCATTGCACATTTTTTATTACGAAAACAATACAGGGACAAGTACTTTACTTGGGTCAGGATCAACAGAAGATAACTAACTTTTTAAATGAAATTAACTTCTAAGTACTGATTCTTTAGTAACTAAACCTGAAAAAAATACCCAGACTTAAAATGATCATTGAAAACACTGGCCATATAAACTGTAAGCAATGATTTGTTCTGAAACATAGTCATAAAAATAGCCCATCACTCATCAACAGAATCATTATTTTATTCACAGAGAAGCTGAATCCAAATTTCCTTAACAAATGTAGTACAAGTTTAGGCTACAAATATAATTTTGAAAAGTGACTCTGATAATTCTAGAGGACATTTCTTTCTAGTTGATGACTCTATCCATAATTAGCATGACTGTATGTAGACTACTGCTTGACTGTGGAGTCAGCACTGTCTTGCCCTTTCTCAAGGTAACATGGCCTTGTTTGGATGAGCCCTGCCACCTCGACACACTCTTCTTTAATCAGATAACCTGGGGAAATGCAAGCTCTTTCCTTATCAACGATCACACTATCGGTCTATGTCTATGAAATTTTATGGAAAACATATTCAACGACCTGTGTTTTGGTCCTGAACTCCTTAAAGCCACAGAACGAAAACTTACAAATTATTTTAAAAATAATAATAATCTTTAAATAATATTTTTGCTTTTAATTTCAAAATCTTAAGAGTCAACTCCCTATTAGATATTTGAAACTAGAAAACAGATACACTAATCTACAAATCAAAAACCATTGAAAGAACCACACGTTATCTATCATTCATCATACAATTCAGTAACTTGTCCATTTTCTTGTTACAAACCAATGTCAGGAAATAGATTCTTTCCTTGTAGCTACAACCTGAATGCATGAGACTGCTGTTGTAGTTGCTAGAAATCTCTTTTTTTATCAATATATAGACAGCAATAGTCTTCAAATTAGGTAGCATAAGGACAACCAGAAAAAAAAATTTGGGGGGAAATACAAATGTAGCTGGAACTAAGTACTGCATTTGCTGCTTCCTTTTCCCAAATCAAAAAACAGGATTCATTCATTCTTTCATCAAATACTCCGCGTCTCCTCTCTGTGCTAGGCACTCTTCTCTGTGCCTGGGTACCTGATGTGCATCATTCACTTAGCAAAACAACAAAGAACCTGTCCTGCTGGAACCCACATTCTACTGACAGAAAAAACAATAAAACCACTGAGTGGGGCTGGCACTGTGGCTAGTGGGCGACGCCTCCACCTGCGGTGCTGGCATCCCATCGTGGGTTTGTGTCCTGGCTGCTCCTCTTCTGATCCAGCTCTCTGCTTACGGCCTCGGAGAGCAGTGGAAGATGGCCCACATCCTTGGGCCCCTGCACCCACGTATAAGATCTGGAAGAAGCTCCTGGCTCCTGGCTTTGGGTCAGCCCAGCTCCGGCTGTTGTGGTCATCTGGAGAGTAAACCAGCGGATGGAAGACCTTTCTCTCTGTCTCTCCTTCTCTGTCTGAAAGTCTGCCTCTCAAATAAATAAATTTGAATAATCTTTTTTTTAAAAAAATCACTGAATCATCAAATATTAAAAAGTAGTAAATTCCTTGGAAAAACATAAAGTGAAACAAGCTAAGAATTAGAAGGGCGGATCTTTATGCTAGCAGGTAGGAGGCTTGTTAAGATATCTGTGTCCCACAGGTGAATATTGGGTATGATTTTCAAACCCAGCTCCTGATTATAGCTTCCTGCTGATGTGGATCCTGAGAGGCAGCAGGAGATAGCTCAACTGGTGGGTTTCCCACTACACATAAGGAAGCCTGAATTGAGTTCCCAGCTTCTGGATTCAACCTAGTTCAGTCCTGGTCAGCATGGAGATTGGTTAGTCAATCAGCTTACGGGAGCTGTCATTCTCTCTCTGTTGGTCTCTGCCTCTCCGATAATAACTTAACTTTAAAGGGATCTCAATTATTCTCTTCCTTTGCACCAATTAAAATAAATACACATTTTTTTTAGAAAGGGGAGGAAAGTTTGCAGTTTTGAAATGCCTTCAGGGAGGGGCTCACTGAATATGATTCATAAATCTAGATTTTGTTCCTGAAAATAAATCCTCTTTATATGTGGGGTTAAAGAATACATGAAAAAATATTTGCATAAACAATGTCTTGTTTCAAAGCACACTTTAAAAACGGATGCTGTTTAAATAGGGATTGATTCAGAGCTGGCAGGGCACAGTTCTTCCAGCTACTCACCAGGGATAACAGGTGCATACGACACTCTCTGGTCTCAATCTTTCATACACTGTCTTCTTCATAAATATGAGAATGTTCCCAGATGGCCAAAGGCCATTCATCCGTCAAAATGGTATCTACAGGCCGGCGCCACGGCTCACTAGGCTAATCCTCTGCCTTGCTGCGCCGGCACACCGGGTTCTAGTCCCGGTCGGGGCACCGGATTCTGTCCTGGTTGCCCCTCTTCCAGGCCAGCTCTCTGCTGTGGCCAGGGAGTGCAGTGGAGGATGGCCCAAGTGCTTGGGCCCTGCACCCCATGGGAGACCAGGAAAAGCACCTGGCTCCTGCCATCGGATCAGCGTGGTGCACCGGCCGAAGCGCGCCCGCCGTGGCGGCCATTGGAGGGTGAACCAACGGCAAAGGAAGACCTTTCTCTCTGTCTCTCTCTCTCACTATCCACTCTGCCTGTCAAAAAAAAATGATATCTACAACTTTCAAGGTATGGGATTTGATAAATGAATAAGCAACACTGAACCAGTGACAAAGCTGCAGGGGAAATAACCGAAGGTCCCAGCAAGTCGTCCTGGCCTCCCCTGCTTCGAGCAGGCAGAACTGCTCCTGATTTTCAACTTGTACTGGAACACTGGGGCTGGGGAGTATTTTAATAAGATTGCTTTAAAAAAAATCACAGTGAGGGGCTGGTGCTGTGGCGCAGCGGGTAAAGCCATGGCTTGCATTGCTGGCATCTCATTTGGGCACCGGTTGAAGTCCCAGCTGCTCCACTTTCGATCCAGCTGTCTGCTTTGGCCTGGGAAAGCAGTAGAAGATGGCCCAAGTCCTTGGGCCCCTACACCCACATGGGAGACCCAGAAGAAGCTCCTGGCTTTGGATCGGCCCAGCTCCGGCTGTTGCGGTCAACTGGTGAGTGAACAAATGGATAGAAGACCTCTCTCTCTACCTCTCTTTCTCTCTGTGTGTAACTCTTTCAAATAAATAAATAAATCTTAAAAAAAAAAAACCCACAGTACTACGAATGAAGAAAATAAGACACATGATTGAAGAAAATGAAACAAAAGTCTACATTTCCTCAGTTATTAAGAAGAAATGGGACAACAGATATTGTCTTCATAAAATTCACACTTTTCTTCTAACAGATACACAATAGATTGCTATAATTTTAATATAAAGTATATTCACTGGTTACTTAGCTAAAATTGGATGTTTAAGTATTTCATATGATACACAAACTATAAATATTTCATGGGTAAAATGTATAAAAATGGGCATTTTAGGATGAAAACCATTAGTATATAGTTATCTATATTGTTTATTAAATATTACCTGTCTGGTATGGAGTAAGGAAACAGAAACATAGACTGTAGTCCCACATAGTAAATGCCAGTTGTTGAGTTGGCTAGACAATACAATACGCATCATACAAAAGTTCATAATATTCAGTAATGCAGTACTCCCAGCAGCAAGCCTGGATACCTCAACAGTGACCGGAATGTTCTGTCCTTTCCCAGTTCATTCCCAAGTGCAACGCCTGCACGATGAGCCGACGCTATCGTGTCAATGATAATATGTTAGGAGTCATAACAGGGAACGCAAATCAAAGTTTGGGCTGTATTACTTATGCTATTTGTGCAACTTTTTCTCCAGCTACCTCAAGTTTCTTCATCAATTAATGTTCAGAATGGATACAAGGAAATATAGCTGGGGCTAAAAATCAAGTCCATTGATGCTATGCCAGTAACCTTAATTTCCATGAGAAAAAGAACACCCAAATCAATGATATATGAAAACAAAAACAAAATAAAAAACAAAAAGCAGTCCCTTCTTGAGCTACAGCATGCACACAATTCAAAGACCTGGGAGCTGAACACAAAGTCATGCATAATTACACATATAATAAATGCGTCTTGATAATGATGGTGCTGACTTCTTACAGATTTTGAGGTAATCAGAGCATACATCGTACATAAGTATGGCCGGTATATCATAACATAAACCGGACCTAATATGCACATAGAAATTAAAGTGAAAATGATAGAAAACTCTAAAAAATTTCAGAAAATTAATAATTAAATGATATTGGAATCAGATCCCAATATGCAAAGAAGGTAAGAACGAGTACTATGACTTGCTAGATGGGTTAATATTGTATTTCATTACTAAGTGGGGAATCACACCTCTAATGGCCTAGTAGACAGAAACCACAGAAAACTGCGGAGATTTCCACTTGGCAAAAACAAAAGTAAATTGAATT